ATTATCGAGCCTTCATTGTAACAGTTGCGGTATAAAATTGTGCATATACTGGGGGATTGTTGCAGTAGAAAATTCAACTGTAGCGCCCGGTACCTTAATGGGAAACCCTAAATGTTTGAGCACCCTCTATGAAACGTCAAGCTACCCCACAGCACCCCCAAAAGAAATCTCTGGCACCGCCACTGAGCCTGACTATTTGTGTTGGAGGGGCCTGACTTTTTTTTTCTCCAAAGGGGGGGCCTGACAGAAAAAGTTTGAGAACCACTGGATTAGACTGTGAAGTAATGATGGAGGCAGGCGTGTTATTTAACATGTTGTGGTTTCTTTTTTTGCAGTAATGTTCTGGGTGACAGCCAGACCAGCATCTGTATCACCATTGAACCCGGTCTTCTTCTGAAAGGTGACATCTTGGTAAGAAAAGCCAAGACACAGAGACAGAGAAGGAAATCTTAGTAGTACAGTATATACGATTTTTAGAACACATTGTTACATTTCAACTTGGAAAAAAGAAACTGAAAACACTTATTTTCTCATGTGAAACTAATAACAGAGAAAGTGTATTGTCTTACTTATAAATACAAATAAATGGATGTTAAATTATGATTATCTGTGTATGAGAACAGCTGCAAAAACGTACAGATGATGCACTATTTTATTATTTTTTAGTACAAAGGGAATTGACTTTTTTTCTCCATTCTGACATTGGGTGAATATACTGCTGCAGCAGTTTATGGTGTCCATTCATAAAGGAAATAGGGCCATAAAATCTCAGGGGAAGACTGTTGACTGGTTCCTATACCTCATTTTATAGACTCATTAGCACACAATATGTTTGCTGGAAACAATGACATCAAAAAGGCTATGCACAGACTTCCTTTCCAGCAGTGCTACACAGGGTTTTACTTAAACATGACATAATCATAAGTAAGTTGTGTTTCAGATGTGTATTGTTAGGTAAAATAAGTTGAGTACATTATCCAACATGCTTCCAACCGTTTTACAACTGAGAGAAATCTGTAATTTAAATTATGTAAATGGTCCATTACATTTGATCATTTAATGGTAAAGTATCTCCTTTGGCATGTTTTAGCATTGGGGCGTCTAATAGACTTTTAAGATCTTAGTCATTTTTAAATGTATATTTAATTTAAGTCATAAGCAAATCCATAACATTCTGCTACTTAGTAATAATGTATCTATTTACCTATTATCATTCCAATAGCTTGCATATAGACTCTTATTTCACTATTTCACTTTTTTTAAACTATTCCTTTCTTTTTGCATTTACTTTTAATATGTACTTGCACTATATTTTTCTGTTTTTCTGTAATATTGTGTTGCGCTGTTGGAGAAGCCTGTGACCTAAGATTTTCATCGACATACTACTTAGTAGCTATGGTTGTATGACTAATCAAGAACCTTGAACCTTGGACTGTGTAAAAGAGATCCAAAATAAAGTAGCACCTGTTGCTTATTTTGCATTTGTTTAAGCAGAAGAACTGCATACATAGGCAAAGTTTCTGCTTCTGCTGTCATTCAGGCCTTAACGTTATCCATGAGATGTCCCCGGGCCCATACATTAAATATGGATCATTTTGAAAGGAGCACTTACTGTATTCTCAAGGCTGTTCAGAGCTGAGCTCATATCTCATCCTTTATTTAAGACACACTAATGGATTCTGCTGAATGCATCATCAGACTGAGCCCTGCTCTTAATTATTCAGATAACACGGAGAATGTGAGCTGTGGCCTTATGGCCACATGGAAGAGACATTACTCAGCATGGAGTGTGCTCCTGCATTTAAAACTGCACTGACATGTGTTTGTTGAAATTAGTTGTGGATAATATGACTGATTACTGAATGGTTAGATTACATAAAGATAACCTCAGAGGAAAATCTTCATAAAGATGATTTCAATTATTCAGGTTGTCTTTTTGCTTCCATCATTGGCCATTGGAAGTCAGTTTAATTCAAAGTTCAGTTTGAAGTCAACAACAAAAATAGGAGCTTATAGGAATAGCTCAACATATTTGCAAATTAACTAATTTGTTTCCTTGCTAGGAGTTTGATGAGAAGACCACCATGTTAATGCCTCTACAGTAAATAGACAGTTAGCCTTTTCTAGCACAAAAACCCACCCTACCAAACATTTTCTAATGCACACAATATACCAGGTTTGTTTAATCACTACAAAACACAAACAATACACATAACAAGTTGTGTTGTGAGCTGAACTATTTCCTGGCAGGGTGCAGTGGTTTCCTGACAAAACAATATCTCGTTTTTGGTACACATTTTATATAATGAGATATAATGTGCAAACAAGCTAACAAACTGTTGACTGTAGCTTTGAGAGAGGCAACAGTCTTCTCAGCACAATTAGCCTAGCAATAACAATGGAAGCATGAGAACACTATTAGCCTGCATGCGACCATAATTAAAAGAAAAGGAAAACATTATACCAACACCTAATAAGCTCTTTAATCATCACATTATATCAGTTTTATTTAATGAATCAAAACATGAAAAGAAGTTATGGCTTTACGGGGTGTTATGTGCTGGACTATTTCCTGGTCGGGTGCAGTTATTTCCTGCCATATTAACGTTTAGTTTTTGATACAAGTTAAACTAAATGAAATATAAAGTGCTAATTAGTGTGGTGATAATGAATTGTTTCTCCGGACTCAGACAGGATAGCTATTTCCATTCTTAATGCTAAGCTAAGCTTAAGTTAAGCTTAGCTAACATGCTGGCTGTAGCATTAGAGAGGTACCAATCTTCTCATCACAGTTAACTTAGCACTAACACTGAAAACATGAGCAAACTTAGCCTGTCTTTCACCAAAATAATAATAAAAAAAACAGACTACAAACACATCCAAAGCTCTATATTCAACAAAAATCTTGTTTCTTTAACTAATCAAAAACGTAATGTAATCGGTTTTACGAGGCGTTATGTGCTGGAATATTTCCTGCCTGCGTGCAGTGATTTCCTGCTATAAAAATTCAAATGTTGATACGATTATTATTTTTTTTTAGATAAGCTGAGGAATACTAAGAAACATATTTTTTCTACATTTTGCCAGTTTCCCACTGTGTCCAGTCTTTTGCCTATACTAAGCTAAAAACTGCTAGCTGTAGATTCATATTAACAGTAAGAGAGAGGCACCATTATTTTGCTCTTTTTCTCAGTAATGGAGCAAATAAGCTCAAGCAATTTATCTAAAAACTCAGACTATTCATTCAACATTGCAGATTGTTTGTCTAGACATCAGGGTTGAATAGGTTTGGTTAGCATAGCACCTTTGCTAAGGCAACATGTAAGCTCCAAATTAATGTTTTCCTTTCTATGTATTGGCTCAACAGCTTTGTGTTCCTCAGTGGGAGGTTTGCGGTATTCCCAGAAAGCTGCACTAAGCCACAGGATATTCTATCTCGCCTTCCTCTCGCCCTCCATCCTTTATGTGCTTTTGTGGATTTTGGAACTTATATGTTTTGCCCCACAAGTAGAGAGTATGTGGAAAGCAAGTCAGTGCCACTTTCCTCAAAATCATATTTCAATTTAGTTTTTAGCTGCTGTGTTTATGCAGTTCCATTTTGACTTATGGTAAGGTCTATATAATTATGTCAGGTATTTATTTCAACTTTTATAGCCGCAGTTTGCGAGGTGCAAGAGTTGTTTGCATTAAAGGGTATTCCTCCAGCACCTGTAAATGTGAGGTCCTTGTAAAAAAAATTACAGGTCCAGGCTTCCCAACAGGAAACAGCAGGAGGGAGAGAGAATATTTTCCTGTTTTTAGTGTTGCTCCTAAAGCCGTTTGTGTTGCAGTTTGGACAGTAATGCCAGTGGAGAGGCCATACATTAAGAGGGATATATATATATATCAAAAAAGTCTTAAATGCTTTCTCTAGCGCTGAGCCAGTGTAAAGAAAGAGCCACTATGAATCAGGCTGGCATGTCTCTGGCTCGTGTTTCACAAGGATCGTTTTATATTGCTCAGCTATTCAGCCCTTAGAATGATTAGATTTTGCTGAAATGATTTGTTTTCCTTATCAGACTTGACACATTGTGTAAATTCATCCTGAAATGGTTATTTATTTGATATTCAGTGTACCTGTGGACTTAAAAGGAATCCAATGTTATTAAGTTGTCTGTTAGATTCTGCATTGCTGCTACTACTCAGTGTGGTTTGAGTTCCCTCTGATGTTTTTCACCCCACAGTTGAAGTGCTACCACAAGCGTTACCGCAGCCCGTGCCGAGACGTGATATTCCGGGTGCAGTTTCACACCTGCGCCGTGCACGACCTGGGGATTGTGTTTGGAAAGGACGAGCTCGATGAGACATTTAAAGGTAAGGGATAGAGTTCTTTGAATGTCAATACAATTTACATCACATGTCATTTAGCTAATGCTTTTATTCAAATAACCCGAAATACACTCTAATATCTTTAATGATGGAGCAGGTCCTTGGGATCGAATCACTGACACCCTTGTTGGTTGACACCCATTTATCCCCTGAGCCACAACCGCCCCAAACTAGTTTGCGATAATGTATGAATAACAATTTCATAATTTTGCTGTTAACCAAAGAATTCATTTTTATTTATTGTGTGCAGATGAGAGGTTTCCAGAATATGGGAAAGTGGAGTTTATTTTCTCATTTGGACCAGAGAAATTACATGGTAAGAGCCAAGGTGCAATTTTGGAACAACTAACAAATATCATACTTCACCTTTATTCATATTTTTAGACCATTTTTGCCTGGCAGAATAGTATGTGGATGACGCAAGCCACGCTTCAACAACTGTCATTGAGGTGACAGTACTGTCAGTACTTTGAGTCATTTATTATTCTGAACAAACACAGAACAAAGTATCGGAAAAATCAAACATGCTGCAAAAAGTGGGAAAAGTTTCAATAAAAAAAATCTGCTGTATCTTAACTGTATCATGTGGCGGGTTATATATTTCTTTCTTCACATTCTGAGTATAATACATGTTTCTCTCTTATGGTTAAAAGACATTCACATGTTCTGCTCTGTCTCTCTGTACTTCGGGTCCAGGTGTGGATCAACTTGAAAATGGGCCGAGCGTCTCGGTTGACTACAACACTCAGGACCCTCTGATCCGCTGGGACTCCTACGAAAACTTCAACCAGAACTGTGAGGACAACACAGACGGTACGTGAATCATTATACAATGTAATATGCATTAAACTCTACAGATTCTCTGCTACATACTTCACTAGGTAACGCGTGGCTCACAGAAATGATTGCTAACATAAAAACATGTACACACTGAGCTGTAATTAATACATTACTGGACATGTTCTCTATTTTTGTCCATGAGTTTAGGTAAGTTGCATTTTTAGAGCATGCTATATTAAGATGGCGAACATTATACCTGCTTTACAGAATGTAAACATTGGCATTGCATGCGTCATAGCATCCTGTCATTAGCATTTAGCTTCAAGCCATGTGTTTAGTGCTTCATCTTTAACTTACCAAATCTTTGATGGCAATGGATGAAGGATTTGGTGGGAACTTGTTTGCCTTGTTGCACGCAGCACCTTCTTAAAATGAATATAAATATAGTGTCTGTGGGTCTATTATACAAAGAAGGCAAAACCCCCCTCCCCCCCCCTTCCTGTGTCTTGTAAAGTTAACAGGGTGTTAGTGTTTACAGCCCTTACGGCCACTTTGGGCTAACATGCAATCACTTTCCCACAACTTGTACGCCTACAGAAGCGTCATGCATCAAACGAAAGAATAAGAAGAATACGATTTTTTTTTCTTTATGACTTAACAAGATTATTTACTGGGGAAATAAAGAAGCCTATTTTTACCATGAAAACTTTTCTCAGAATTCTGAACCAACCCTGATAATCTTGTTAATTTGGAAAGACAGAAATCTCTCAATTGAATATATTTTTAGAATTTATTTTAAGTAACTCAATTGCAAGATTCATGTAGCTGCCTATGATCAATTACCAATGCATTGCTTGCATAGTGTTGTCAATTTCTAGCAAGCACACCTCAATAACAGGCTGCACAAGCTCTCTTCAATAGCTGTTTGTGTTCTGGTGTCTGAGAAATGTATTTTAGGGACATACCACTCCGCACCTTACTGGTGAAAGGTCACTTGTAAGAATGTAATGTAAACTGTGCATGTGACTGTGGACATGCTCTTTAATGTGGTTGAGAGGAAGAAGCTGAGATTGTATTTAAATGTCTCTCCCACACACACACACACACACACACACACACACACACACACACACACACACACACACACACACACACACACACACACGACGAAGGCACACGA